TCTTGCTTTCTTTCTCTAGAGAACCTGATTACTACAATGTGGCACTAGATTGGGGACTGGGAGGCAAGCAAAAGTACGAAATGCCTTAAGGAGACTGTCTGTGAAGGCTGGATGGACACGGAGGAAATTGCTATTGGAGGCTAGGAAAAAGGTGACTCATGTTACGAAGTGGCGGACAGTTTGGCAACACTGTCACCTGCAGTAATGGAGCTAACAGAAACATACCTAATGAACTTAGGAATTTGGTGAAGGAGATTTCCAGGCAGAATGCTGAAAGTGCCAACTCATTTCTTTTAGCTGTATACGATAAGGTACAGAGAGAAATTAACTAAAAAGGAATTGTTTATTTTTAAGCAGAATCAAGAGAAAATATTCCCAAGTCAGGATTTGCTGGGTTTGAAAATAAAACTATTTGTCATTCCCTGTCTTTCCTGGTAAAAGAATATCAAAGTACAAAATGGCCTCAAGGCCGTGATCACATTCTGAGTGCTGCCCATAAAACATGTTCTCAGGTGAGATTTCAGGCTCTGAGACATCATGGAGAGAGAGACCCAGCCTTTCCAGCCTCCCAGGTGACACCAGCCTTTCAGCTGACTCCTCCACAGTGCCATTTGTAGGAATGATGCCCCATCTCTTTGGACATCCCAGCTTAGTTGAGTGGCCAGATGTCTTCAGCCCCAGCCAACATCACAAGCAGCAGCAGAACTGCCGAGCTAAGCCCAATCAATCCACAGTCACGTGAAATAATAAAATTATTTATATTTTAAACCACTAAGTTTTGGGGTTGTTTATTATATAGTAATAGATAAGCAAAATACCAACCATAGATTATTTGAAACTGAAGAATAAAAAGGAAAGAACCTACAATACTTCCATCGTTAGTCCCGCAGTGCCACCCAGGTTTTACCGTCTTTTTCCCCTTACATTCACTTTTACATAGTTATAATTATTATATGTGTAATTTTTTATAGTGGTTTTGTTTCATGTGGCATCACATATCACATTTTTATATGTTAATACATAGTTTTAATAAAGACCTACAAAGGTAAGAACTATATCAAAGTAGAAATACTAGGTTGAATAATTGACATAAATTGCTGCTTGGGCCCGATCTAGAAGACCAAGGCCAGAGAGAGTGATGTAGTGAGGGATGGACGTGAGAAGCGGGTCACAGGGATGACTTCAGAATCCATCAGGGAAAAGACTGCTGATGTTAAAAGGGTATGACTACAAGGGGAACAGCATGCCAGACTTTCAACAACAGACACAGAAGAAGGAAACTATTGATCCAAGAGTCATGACCTTGAAGTTAAAGTCTGGGGAGGAGGACACAGAAATTGGAAGGGTTACAAGGAAAACAGACAGACAGAAAGAAAACACCATATATATAATCTACAGCATATAAAGAACTCCCATTTAAAGGAAGAAACAAGCAATTCAGTAGAAATTAGCAAGGATCTCAAGAGGAAATTCACAGGAAAAAATATAAATGACCAATAAATGTCTTCAACATGCTAAGACTCACTGATAATCATTTGACATAGATGATAATCAATGACATAAATGTCATTTTTCTCATAAATAAAAAGAGTTGATACTATTCCACAATGAACAGCATGTGGGAAAGCATGGTTTCTGATAGATGGTAATGGGAGTATAAAATGGTACAGTTGCTTTGGAGGAAATTTGGAAATACTTATCAAAATATAAAATATGCATGATTCTCCCTTTAATCCAGCAATTCCACCACTAGAAATCTATCCTAGAGAAACACCCTTGTGTGTCCACAGAAATACATGTACAAAGACATCCATGGCAGCATGCTTCTTCCAACTGGGACGAAAGCTTCATGAGAGTGGGGACTTTGTCATTGTCCCTGTATCTTCAGTAGCTAGATCGCTGCCTGGAATATAGTAGACGGTCAGCAAATATTTGCTGAATGAATGAATGGGACTGAAAATTGAAAACAAAATAATTTTCTGTCAATAGGAAATGGTCACATCTACCCTATAGAATACTGTGAGCTGTTAGAAACAATGAAGTAAATTTATATGTACTGACATTGAAAGATCTCCAGGACCAAGTTTAAGTTAAAAAAAGAATAAATAGTAAAAAATTAGAAACAACATAAATTCCATCATTGGAGGACTGATTTATTGGATTGTGATTTAAATAAATCTGATACCAGGCATCCGTTTTGATTTTGGCCTTGATCTATATTTATTATTGTTGAAAGATGTCTGTGATATTGCATTTCAAATGGTTAACACTTTGAGCAATTACTATATATTAGGATTATTCCTCTTAATCCTCATAATTTCCTCCTGTTAGGTACCATTGTTAAGTAGATACTACTTAATGATAGGTACTATCATTCCATTTTATAGTTGAGAACACTGCAGCACAAAGAAAGCAACTTTCCCAAAGTTACAATGTGACAGCATCAAGACATAAACTAAGCAGAGTGACTCCAGAGTTCATGCTATTAAAACACCCAAAGATAAAGTGACCATATCTTCCGGTTTAACCTTACCGACTCAGCATAATTATTAATAGCATCTTCTTTCTTTTCAAAAAGTCTCCAGATAGGGGCCGGCCCAGTGCCATAGTGGTTAAGTTCTCGGGCTCTGCTTCGGTGGCCAGGGGCTCATAGGTTTATATCCTGGGTGCAGAACTAGCACCACTCATCAAGCCAGCTGTGGTGGCATCCCATATAAAACACAGGAAGATTGGCCCAGATGTTAGCTCAGGGCCAGTCTTCCTCACACACATACACACGAAGTCTCCAGATATGGTCACTAAGTTATATGGTCACTGCCTACCTAGAGAACATACACAGGCAATAGTGTGTAGTGGCTAAGAGTTCAGGCTCTGGAGCCAAATTTTTGGAAATTTACTCAAACTCTCGACTTCAGTTTGCTCATGTGTAAAATGAAGATGGCAATAGTGACAGCCTCATGCATCCATTAAAGGACTAAATGATTTGGTACTTTTTTAAGTGCTTGGTACATAGTAAGTACCATATTATTACTCACCCATTTACATAAAGAGTGTGTGTGTGTGTGTGTACACTCATTGTGAAATATCTGGAAGGATTTTCAAAAAATATTAACAGAAGATATCCCCTGTTAATATTTTTTGAATGTATACACATACACACATATATATATTGAATATACGTATTTATACATTTGTATACACACATATGTGTTTAATACTGAACACGCATCCTAATAAACATCGCAAAGCCTCTTGGTTTCTACGGCACATCTCGCTTGCTACAGGTACGTGCTAATCTAACCAACAGTGGGAACTCACCAAAGACGATTGAACAACAAAAATTTTTGAACTGTTAAATTAAGGTGAAAATAAAAATATCTCTTTTTATCATTACCATTTCAGATTGTTTCACTTGATTTAATCGATACCAAGTGTAACTTGAAAGAACACCTCACCTTCTAGTTTCTCCTAGTATTTCTTAATTTCTCCTCAATTAAGTATTTAATTATCTGTAAACAAAACACTTCCCTGGGCATAGTAATCTTTAGACTCATTCGCAGGTAAGCCCTCCCCCACCTGCATTGGAAGCGAACCGCGGAGCGCGAGCGGGGAGCCGAGATTGCGGGTTTCACAGAGACGGACTTGTGCAAACTCCAGCGCAGGGCATAAACTCGCGCTCGGCCACCTGCCTTGGGCAGCCTGAGAAGTAACTTTGTACTTCCCAGCTTGTTCTACTTTATATACAACCTCAAAAATGAGTACTTGGGCGCACGTTCGGATCCTGGCACGGACCTAGCACCGCTTGCCAAGCCACGCTGTGGCAGCATCCCACATAAAGTAGAGGAAGATGTACACAGAAGTTAGCTCAGCCATAATCTCCCTCTAGCAAAAAGAGGAAGACTGGGGCCGCCCTGTCACCCAGTAGTTGGGTTCCCACAACTCCGCTTCCCAGGCCTAGGGTTTCGCTGGTTGGGATCCTAGGCGCAGACATGGCATCGCTCATCAGGCCATGCTGAGGCATCCCACACGCACAACTAGAGGCACTCACAACTCGAATATACAACTATGTACTGGGGGGCTTTGGGGAGAAAAAAAAAGTAGACTGGCAACAGATGTTAGCACAGGATCAATCTTCCTCACACACACACACACACACACACACACACACACACAAAGAGTACTCTAGGTGAAACCAAACCCAGGGAATGCAAGTCAGGAAAGCAGTTCCCATTGGGGAGAAGTTAGTAGCTAGCTGGCAGGGGGCACAAAGAACCTTCTGGAAAGGTTCCATGGACTGACTTGGGGGTGTTTCCAGGGTCTATACAGAATCCTCGAGCTGATGCACCTGACCATATAAATTACATCTCAATTTTAAAATGGTTCTTGTTTTGTTTTGCGTTATTAATGAGTTCTCTAGTCACATTCACTTCACGGCGGGCAAGAATCGGTACTGTTTTATATGAATGAAGGAAATGCATTTCGTGGTCTGGCCCTTCTGACGCCATCCCCCACCACAGGCTCCTCAAGCCATTTACCCATGTGTCGTCGGTAACCGGCCGGTGCATTTCCCAGTCGGAGCCGGCGAGGGAAACCCCGGAGAAGCAAGCCAGCCAGCGAGCTCCTCCGCCTCCCGCCCCGCGCCCGCGGGTGACTGTGCGTCGGGTCGGGCTCAGGGCGGCTTGCCCAGAAGGCGGGCAGCTCGGCAGAGCGTTCACCAGCTGAGCGGGCCGGGCCACCAGCAGCGCTCTCTGCGCGGCCCGCCCGGCGCCAACGCCGGCCGCTCTGGCGAGTGGCGCGCAACATCGCCAGCCCGAGACTCCTCCTCAGCACTGCCCAGCGGGCGCTCAGCTGACCCGGAGCAGGAGATGCCCGGCTTCGGGCAATGCGGCCGGCTGCTCCGCGCGCGGCGCCCAGCCGTGCCAGCCGTGCCAGCCGTGCCCAGGCGCGCTCAGCAACGCCCGCGCGCGGTGTCCGGCCGTGCGCCGCAGACGCCCACTCACCTCAACTCCGGCCGCACGATCTGAGTGTAGGTGTAGCATCTGCCCAGCACGATATCGCCAAAATGGGCAGTGGTGCCCGACCCCTGCCACTCCTTGTGGTTGGGCGGCGACCGGGGCCACATCAGGATTGCAGTCACCACTGCGATGATCACCAAGACCAGGAGAGAGAGAACCACGCAGAGACAGATCTGGGCTTTCCTGGAGATGTCGCAGCAGGGTTGTTCCCCCTCGGACACGGGGCTGAATCTGTGGTTGGCCATGGGGGTCTCACGCGGGCTTGGCCAGGCGAAGCTGGAGGAGAGGCCGGCAGCGGCTGGGCAGGAAAGTTGGAGAGTGCTAGCCGGCTCTGAAACTGCACCTCCCCTCTATCTTTCGCTTGCCTTTTCTCGGCTTCCTTTCCCACCCCACCCCCTCCTTCAAAGTTCCCTGGCGGTTGGACCAATAAGGATTCAAAGGACTTACAACAACTACCACAGCGCTCACTTCTAGACTTCTGAGCAGACAACTGGGACTCGCCGTCTCCGGGGAGAAACAGCCACCTGAACCTTACTCTGCAGATGCCCGAATAACAGTTTATCCTGCTGCTCCGGGGCCAGCTCCCTTTATCGACCTTGCACCTCACACTTTAGCCTCATCTGCTTCCTGGAAAGTCTGAAGGCTGCCTGCCTGCCTCTGTGTTTCCGTAATAGCAATGCCTCACGCCTGGGAAAGAATGCTCTGCTTCTCCTTTTAGCGCTGGGAAATGCCTGTGCAGCCCCCTTTAAAGGCTCCACTTAAGCCTCACCGCTTCTCTCAAGTGGCTTCAGTGGTTAAGCTCTGGGTTCAAACCCAGCTCCACCATACACTGGCTGGGTGACCATAGAGCAAGTTACTTGACCTCTCTGTGTTTCAAATGTAAAGCATAGATAATAGCAGTACCTATTTTACAGGGTTATTATGAGGATTAAGTGAGTTCATATTTACAACGTGTTTAGCACAATGCCTGACTGTAGTAAGCACTCAGTAAAAGTTAGCTATTACTGCCTGCTCTGTGAGGCTATGGAGGGGATGCAATTTTCCAATCGGTGGGAGGTGCTTGGAACAGTGTCTGGCAGGAAGTAAACACTGTAAGTGGTGGTTCAGTAAATAACTGAGTGGCTTTTCCCAGACATCTCCTGCCTCTCCTCTCTCAAGTTTCCTTAGCACGAGGAGCATCTGTGACATTTCAGCAGATGCCTAAGGAAAGTGGAAGATCGAACCACAGGACTCCCTGGGGCAGAAGTTTTCCAGACAGAGGGAATAGCAAATGCAAATACTCTGAGGCAGAAATGCTGTTGGCCTGTTCCAGGAGCGTCAAGGAGGCCATGGGAGCCGGAATGCAAGGTTGAGAGAGGCAGAATAGGAGAGAAGTTCAGAGGGGAGCAGGAGGCCAGGTCACCTGTGGCCTGTAGGACAGGACAAGGACTTTTGGACTGTGAATTTTAGTTTTAACCCATTCAAGGTCACTGAGTGACTTGATCTGGCATGACTTTTTAAGGGTTCAATTCAGCTTCTGCATTGAGAATAAACTGTGGGAGAGTAAGGATGGAAAGATGGAGAGCGGCCACTGCAGTGGAGACTGGATGACTTTGACTGAGAGAGTAGTAACAAAGGCGGCAAAGGAAAACCTACTTGGATCCTGGATGTGGTGGGAAGGTAGAAGCAAGATTTGAGGATGAATTTGATGTGCAGTTTGTGAGAAAAAGAGTAGTCAAAGATGACTCCAGGATTTTTGGTGTGAGTAACTGACCGAAGGAAGGACAACGTTGCCGTTTAGAGCAATAGGAAAATCAGGCTAAAGTAGATTTGGTTTTGGGGAAAAGGTGTGAAACAAGAATTTGGTTTTGGCGGTGTTAAGTTTGAGATGTCTTTTAGACCTCCAGGAGGAGACATCAAGTAGCCAATTGGGTATCAACATCTGGAATTCAGGCAAGGGTTCAGTGCTGGAGACATGATTATGGAAAGCTTTAGCATATCGATAGTTTTTTGTTTGTTTGTTTGTTTGTTTTTGGTGAGGAAGATTGGCCCTGAGCTAACATCTGTTGCCAATCTTCGTCTTTTTTGTATATGAGATGCTGCCACAACATTGCTTGATGAGTGGTGTGTAGCTCCGTTCCCAGGATTCAAACTGGGAAACTTTGGGCCACTGAAGCAGAGCACACAAACTTAACCGCTACGCCACTGGGCAGCCCTAGCATATTGATAGTTTTTAAAGCCAGGAGGGCAAATAAGATCATGTAGAGAGTGAGTGCAGAAACAGAAGACAAGAGTCCCAGAGTCTCAACCATGGGGCGTCCCTGTAGTGGAGATCAGAAAGGTGAGACGAGCTCCAGCAAAGAGGACTGGGAGGAGTGACCCCTGAGACAAAAGAAAGGGCCCCTGGGAGCTACTGGTGCTGTTGACAGGAGCTCTTTTAGAGGAATGTTGGGGACAAAGCCCAAGGAGAGTAGGTTTAAGAGAGTATGTGAGAAGAGAGTGTGTCATAAGTCAGATGATTTAAGGGGAAGAGTTCTGTGTAAAGGAATAGAAGACACTATTCCTATCTTCTATTCCTGGAGCAAGGACAGAGCATTTTGTTCTGAGAAGAGACCTGCAACACTATGTTTGTAGGGTGACAGACAACCCAGCAGACAAGTAACAACCAATAAGGAGGAAGGAGAGGGGGAAGTTGTGGGAGGGAAAAGCTCAGGTGTCAGGAAAGGAGTCCCAGACGCAGGGGGCCGTGGGCAGGAGCTCTGCGCCCTCACGGAAGGAAGGTGGAGAACATGGCTTCAGGGACTGGAAGGGGAGCGCACTTGCTGACAGTGACATGTGGGCATTCTCTTCTGATTGCTTCTCAGTGAAATGGGAAGTCATCTTCTATGACTGGGTGGGGGATGGGTGGGGCTGGAGGAGACTGGGGAAATGAGAGTCGTTCTCAGGGTGTCATTAAGTGGTCAGAAATTTAAAGAAAGACCAGTCAGTGTGGATGTATTTTTTAAATTTTTTGTCCAGCCACTCCCCACTGCTTAGAAGAAAGGGTGAAAGTAGGCACAGAGCTGGATTTGATGGGGTTGGGGTTGGCTAATGTATTAGTTTACTGGGGCTGCCGTATCAAAGCCACAAAGTCTGTCATGACTTAAACAGAAATTTATTGTCTCACAGTTCCCGAGGCTGGAAATCTGAGATCAAGGTGTCAGTGGGGTCCGTGTCCTCTGACGCCCCTCTCCTTGGCTTGTAGATGGCTGCTTCCTTGCTGTGTGCTCACATGGTCTTTCCTTTGTATGTCCGAACGTCTGTGTCCAAGTTTCCTCTTCTCATAAGGACACCAGTCGTATTAGAGCCCACCCTAATGACCTCATTTTAACTGAATTACCTCTTGAAAGGCCCTTACTCCAAATCCAGTCACTTTCTGAGGTTCTGGGGGTTAGGATTTCAACATATGATTTTTTGGGGGGATTGGGACACCATTCAACCCGTAACACCGGGTAAGTGCAGGCAGTAAGAGAAAGGCAAAGAAGTTGAAAGTTTAAGCAGACAGGATTTTAATAATGGGCCATGGCACCTAAGTCCTGCAGAAACTGAAGTGAGGGCAAAAGGAAGGTGCGAGGCAGTGAAAAACTAAGAAAGCCCATGGCAGGGAGATCCTGATGGGGCCAAAGTGTTGACAGAGGAGAGGAAATCTCCACTAGCTTGCAGGTTACTCCATCCAAAACTGACTTGTTCATCTTCCTTCTTCAAAACGGTTCCTCTTCTGGTCTTTCCAATTTCAGTAAAGAGAATCCACACACACACACACACACACACACCCCCCAGTTGCTCAAGCTAGAGAAGGTCTTCTTTGACTTTTTGCTCTCCTTCATCCCATACATCCAACTCGAAGTTGGTTCCTTCAACCCAAAAATTATCCATTAGCTATCCACTTTCTTCATCTTCACTACCACCAGCTTTGTCCAAAAGAAAGGCCACCTTCTTACTCACCTAGAAAGAGCTTCCCAACCATTCTCTCCAAATCCACTCTCCTCAACCTCCGGCACCCATTGTCTCCACCACAGCCAGGGTGGTGGCTTTCTTTTAAGCCTCTCTCCATAAAGATGTAACTTTTGGAATGCAACTCTGATTACCTCATCCTTGCACTTGCTGTAGACACAGCAGGCAAGCACCTGAGCCCCTCTACTCCTCCAGACTCCACGGGCACCTCTGTCCCCAGCCCCCAAGGCACTCCAGCCCTACTGGCCTTCTGTCTGTCCCCAGAGAGAATGAACACGTTCCCTATCAGCACATGTTGCCCTACTTGATTCTTTTAAATGAGCCCCAGTATTCCAGTGGATAGTGTACCATGGTTTCTTTAACTAGACCCAGTTCGATGGGCACTTCGGTTTCCCACCCCTTTGTTACTACATTAAATATTGGAATAAATATTCAGCATATTTTTTTCACATGTCCAAGTACATACACTTCTAAAAGTCGACTTCCTGGGACAAAGGGCACAAACGTTTAAAAGTCTGCAAGATGGGGGCTGGCCCAGTGGCATAGTGATTAAGTTACACACTCTGCTTTGGTCATCTGGGGTTCGCAGTTTCGGATCCCAGGTGCAGACCTATGCACCACTCATCAAGCCATGCTGTGGCAGCATCCCACATACAAAATAGAGGAAGATGGGCACAGATGGTAGCCCAGGGCCAATCTCCCTCACACACATACACAAAAACTTGCAGGATATTTCCAGCCAAGGGAGTTGTACCAATTGACACCCACACCCACAAAGTTATGGTTTCATATTTGCTTTGTCTTATTTTCTGATTATGAATCAGTAGTGACTTAGGAGCACTTGAGCTTTTAGTTTCTCCTTCTGTTAAATGTGACAAACAGTTAAGAAACTCTTCCTGAACTTTCAGGTGACCGCCTAAACACCCCACATCTGGGACATTCTTCACGAGCTTTCTCATTCCTATCATGGGTTCTCATACGCACCCTATACTTCCTGATTTTGCTTTTTTTTTTTTAGACAGTTTCCTCCTCCTCCTTTGCCCCACACTAGATTGTAAATGGACACCAAAACAGTCTTTTTCTCAGGTGTGAGCCCCATGACTACCAAGTTCCTGGTCCCTAGGAGGCACTGCAAACTGTTTGTTGATGAATATCATCCTTAAAGCAAATCTTTTCTTCTGTCATTCATTTATTCATTCATTCGTGCATTAAATATTTACTGAACACCTGCTGTGTTCCAGGAACTGTTTTAGGTCCTGGGTATACAGCAGTTAAAAGAATACAGTCCTTATAGAGCTTATGTTGTAATAGGGGGCCAACATATCATTGACAAAATAAATAAGTAAACCACGGCATAGGTGAAGTGGTAACGAGGGCTAAGAAACAAAATAAGTAGGAAATGAGATAAAGCCTGGAGGGAGGGTTGCAAGTTTGGATAGAGGCTCCAAGGAAGGTCTTACTGAGAAGGTGGCATTTGAGTAGGGATCTGAAGAAGGTGAGATAGCCACACAACATCTGGGGAAACAGGGTTCTAGGTAGAGGGAAGAAAAGAGCAAAGGACCTAAGGCAGAAGCAAGCCTGGTGTGTTCAAAGAACAGCAAAGGTCAAGTAAGAGGTGCCTGGTACAGAAAGAGCAAGGAGGAAAGAAGTAGAAGAGGACGGA